CAGCGAGAGCGTCTCGAGCGTGTAGATGGCGAGCACCATCTCGGCGGCACGGACGGGGTCAGAGGCGCGCTGCGCTGCGGAGAGCGCGGTGTTGAAGGCGACGGAGGAGGGCTCGACGGAGTCGTCGGCGCACATGGCCTTGAACGTCTCGACCGCCGCCTCCGGCTGGCCGGCCCGCGCGCACGCGCAGATGGCCGAGGAGAAGGAGTAGCCATCGCGCGGAAGGCCGGCGGCGCGCATGTGCTCGAGCAGCACCAGCGCGCGCTCCCACTCGGCGGCGTCCGAGAGGGCGGCGAGGACCACGTTGCAGTGGATCGTCTCCGCCGATGAGGGAGCCTCGCGAAGCGCCCACCACAGCAGGCCGTGCGCGCCGTCCCAGTCGGAACTCGCCCGCAGCGCGCTCAGCTGCTTGCGGAGCTCCCGCCCGTCCGCGACCGCCGCCGCCGCTGCCGGTGGCGGGCCGCCGCTGCCACCGAGGACGATCAGGCCGCTCGAGGGAAGCCTGACGGCGCGGCCTGAGCCAGAGGCGAGGCAGGCGAGCAGCAACGTCCGCATCGAAGGGCGCAAAAGAAATAACCCTACCCGAGGAGACGGGCGAGATAGGGACCCTGTCCTTCTCCCACCCCTCGTTTGGCGTGCCCGTTTTATTTATTTATTTATGGGCGAGTAGATCTCGCCCAATGCCTCCTCTTACGTACGGCTTTGCTTAGAGCTCGCTGCCCTCGGCGTGGGGCGCCGCTGGCGCTTTGCACGCCCACAAGGGCTTCAGCCACTGGCTCAGGTGGCCGCTGCATCTTCGCCTCGAGGAAGCGCGGGATGGCGTCGCCAAGGGCGAGCAGCGCGCCGCGTGTGCCGTCGGTGAGACGTCCTCCGCGGAAAACGTCTTCCTCCGGAGATGATTGAAAAAAAGAAAAAGGAAACGTTTAAAAAATTGCACGCGTGTTATCGATATCGTCACCCTCTCCAGCGCCCGAACGTAGTCCGCCAGCACGGGGCCAACCATCCTGCGGCGAGGAAATGGGTGAGAGCGTGTGGCGGCAGCCGTGACTGTGCGCTGTGCTGGCTGCTGACGGCCGCGCGCCGGTTCGTGACCGGAGTTGGCATGTAGCCGGCGAGGTCGGTCTGGCTGACGAGGGTGAGGTCGGTGCCGCGCATCGGCGGGCGGCGCGGAGCGGGACGGCGAGACCATACTGTGATGAACGGGCCAGAAAGAAGGTATATGATGCGGAACAATAGTCGCGCCGCCCTCGACTCAAGGGGCTGCCTTCCACACGTCGCTGCTCAGGCCGGGGGAGGGGGGGAGACCTCCCGTTCCTCGCGGAACGGGAGCAGCCCCCTCCTTGCCCGGTCTGCGAAGCAGGGCGGTGGTCGTGCCATCTTCGCTTCAAAACGACCACGCCGCAATCGTCGCCGGCGCGCGACACGTTCCCGGAGGCCGGACTGTCCTGGTCGAGAGTGTGTGCCGCCA